CACATTTACATAAAATCTTAATCATTTATGTCTCCAATTTTAATTGTTGATATTTATTTATATTTATTAAAGATAAATTATCTTTTCCATTAAAAAAGTCATAATAAATCTCAACTATTAAAAATAAAAAGATGAATAATTGAGATTTTATATAACTATAGTATGTATGTATTACTTCTAAAACCCTATTAGTCATATCTTGCGATAGAAATTGAAATAAAGGCATGCCACCTAGTTTTTCAAGAAAAGCAAGAAAAGGATTTGCTGATAACCACTCTACTTTCACTCGATTTTATCTTGTAAAAACAAGTTGTTAGAAGAATGTCATTTAAAATGAGATGCATCCGAATGAGATGATTAGAATTAATGAGGGATTAGTTCCTACATAACAAACTCAAAATTGCCTTTGAAGCACATGAAGGACTTTGGCTATGATAAACAAGTATCAAGAAAAATTTAATTAGAGTGACAGAGAGTGAATAAACTGAAAAAAAAAAAAAAAGGTGCTGAAATTAATTAAAAGAAAGTGCAGAAAATAAAGTTAGACAAAAACAAAAATTGCTAGTAGAAAATGTAAACTTGACAATAATTTGGAAAATGCAACAAACTAAAATTCAACCAAAACATAAATTACAGCAAAAATGTAAAAGACTTCAAATTTTAACTGAAATTGCTTGAATTTAAATTGAATGTTTAACGATGAAAAATCTAGTAAAAGCAAACAACAAAATAATATAAATGTTGTAGAGACTAATCTTACAAAAAATTAGACAAACTATGAAGAAGAATCCACTGGGGAATGTTGATTGACTTCCATTGGACTAAACACTTAAAGAAAAACTTACTAAAAAATAACCTTAATCTAAGAGATCGCTAAGTTTGGCAAAACTAAGAGAAGCTTCCGAAAAACAAAGAGTTTTGAAAAGTAATTGATTTGTGTTAAAAGGCAGGTTTGTTGGAACCGAAAAATGTGTTAAAAACTTATATTTAAAGGCCTTCATAATTGCATCTGCTCAACAAATATCAGATCTGGATCATATCCCTCCTCAATGAAAAACAATTTCAACAATCTCTAAATTCTCTCCACCATACGATTGCACGCTAGTCAGAAACAGAAATTTGCAACTAGAAACCCCCTAGATCTTATTGGTTGGAACCTCGTAGAAGTCATCCTTATTTTCCTCAATTAATTTGGTCAAATCTCACTTGGATTTGGTCTCTCACTCTGCAACTCCTTCGTCCTAAAGAAAGAAGAGGGTTTACCTTCCAATAAAATACTACCTCTAATCCATAAGCTTTTAATTACAAGAGTCCAAAAGACTTAGAGCTGCACTTTTCCTTTGACCCATGCGATTAGGGGTGGGCATCGGTTCGATTTGCTTGAAACCAAACCTAAATTGATGGATTTTATCGGTTGATTATTTTGTAAAATAACAACCAATAACCGAATCGATAATATTTCGGTTATTTGGTTTTGTAACCGAATTAATGGGTTCGGTTGGTATCAGTCTCAATTTTTTTACCAATTCTAGCCTTAGACTTTCTTGGGTTTGGGCCTTCCGTTTTTATGGCCCAAATTTCCTACAATGTATGATGATCCATTTTCTTCAATTTTTTGATCGAAATAAATATCCAAAGCCATCACATTTCCCAAGTGCCAAATCCAAAAAAGAATCAAAAGTCGTTCAAGCATATCTTAATTTCTGCAATCTCAAGGTTGTTAACACCAATGCAAAAGTAAAGAAATCCCATTTTAAATTCTAATCCAGCCTTTTCCATAAAAAAAAAAAAAATTTCTAAGCACAACTGTAGAAATCAAAAGACAAGATTTTGACCGTTTTGGATACTGCAATCGGATAAGGTCTGACCATCTTTGAGTTGCTTGCCAGCGACAATGAGACTCTATTGATCCGGCAAGATCCTATGGTTATATCTTCCACCTTTTTGGGATGAAGGAGATTGGGCTTTCAAGTTATAAAACTTGTAGAAAGATGGAGATTAAAAAGAGAAATATAGAGAAAGAGTGAGCTATAGAGCTTGTGAGATTAATAAAAGAGAAGAAAAAGAATTGGAGAAGAAATAGAAGCATAGAACAGAAAGTGAAAAGCGGCTAAAGAACAAGAAAAAAAATGGAAGATTAAAGATTGGATTTGGCGGAGATTAAATTTTTTTTATCTATGGAAGGCAAGTGGCAGATTTGGATCTGGGCGAGGAGGGAAATAAAATTTTATTGAAAGGGAGAGGGTTAGGGTTAGGTTTAAGAGAAGGGAGTGAAAATATATTTATATATATTTCTTATTCGGTTTTATTATTCGATTGCTCGGTTTTTGGATTAGCAACCGAACACCGACCCGTTTAAGATCGGGCCAAGCCTGAAACTGAACATTTGAGCCCGAAGCCCATTAAGCCCGAACCAAATACCATTTTTTCGGGTCGGTTGTCGGTGACCCAATCGATTGCGGGTTTTGTGCCCACCCCTACATGCGATTATCCTTTTAGCTCAACACAACACTCCTCCTTTAAATCCACTTTAAAAAATGAGGTTGGACTCTCTAGGCTTAATTAACAAAAAAACCAAAGGTCTAACCTAGTAAAAATAACTCGTACCAGCCCACAACAACATAAAATAAGCTTTAATGTGCTCATAGCCAATTATTTTTAAATTTATTATGAAAAATTTATGACTGCCAAATCTCTATATGGACACATTGCTAATTGTGGTGTATATAATAAAATTTATGTGTAAGTGAGCTCAACTATACATAAGTGTATCCTCACTATATATACAATAGAGATCTACTTACACATAAATCTTATATACCATATTTAAACAAACTCTTAACCATTCACTTCTCCACTTTCTATAGTTGAAATTTATTCACATATTAGAAATAATTATCTTTTCACCTAAAAAGTGATAATAAATGTCAACTATTAAAAGTAAATAGATGAGTGGTTAAGATTTTATTTTATATAAATATAATATGTAAAACTTATGTGTAAGTAAATCTTTACTCATATATATATAAACACATACACTAAATAATGTATGTGCACTTGCACCTGAACATTAAAATGAAATAAATTATATTTTTAATTTTTGAATATTATATTATTTTTTAAATTTTATATTTTTCAATTTGAACAGTATAATAAAAGTGTCATTTGGACATTAAAAATATTAAAATATTATTAATAAAATAATATAAATAATAATTTTATTAAAGATATTTTAATAAATTTATAGTCAAAATGCAATTTTGATATAGGGTTCGACATAAAACACTTTTTTATATTTTTTAATTATAAAAATAAAATATTATTTGCTCTCAAAGATTGACTAAAAAGAATAAAGTGAAAAAGAAAAACAAATGTAAAATTCATCTTTTCAATTCTCACACGATCAACAATAAAGAATAATAAAATAACTATTTATTTGCACAGATGCCTTTTTCTCAACTTGAATTAGAGCGGTTCACACATTTATACAAATTTTCTCTTAATAATACAAAGTAAGTACTATCTTAACAAATTCAATTGGATAAACATACATACATAGAACACCAAAAATTTAAACTTAACTTTCAACCTCCATTACTTTTGGAATGATTAACTTCAATGATAAAATCAAACCCCAACCATGATAAATGAAATCACTAATATTCAAGGAGAAAAAAAAAAGCTTGGGAAAGAGAAAATAAGGAATTGCTAAAAGAAATAGATTAACGAAGAATAGGAAGAGCATATATAGAACACCAATAACTTGATTTTTTGTTTAAAATAACTTTTTCTCAATCCTATTTTTTTTTTTAAATAAAATGATTAATATTTTTATTAAAAATTTATTCTCAATTAATTATTATTTTCCTATTTTAACTCTATAGTTTCTTTTACATTATCCCTTCCTTCTCATTAATTAGCCCATTCCATTCTCCTAAGAGAAAGTTACTAATTTACTAACCAAAGCAAATTTAATGAATAATGCAGATAATGGTTATTTATTTTTATTGATATACATCATTGCTACAAATAGATTTAAAAGAGAAAAATGGAAATTAATATTTTTTAAAGGTCAATGAAAGAATAGTAATTAAATTGAAAAATGATAAAAGATTAGGGGGGGAAAAAATGAAGAAAGAAAGAAAAATGTTGCAGAATTTAAAAAATGTCCAAATTAACAACCACACCCAATATTGATAATGTTACAACATTTTATAATTATTGACCATTTTTCTATATATCTCCCATTTTTTCCCGTTTATCTCATCTTGTAGTTTTCTTCTCTTCTTATAGTTTTCTCTGCTGCTATTCAATCTGTAATACTCCATTTTAAATTCGTTCTTGCCAACTCA